GACAGCCCTGGGGTCCATATTAATTTCAGCTCCATTTTAAAGGCGAGTTAAAATAAACACAGGGAATATTTATAAGGCAAATAAATCTGGCAGGAACAGCCCCTCCAAGTGTGAGCAGAGGCCTCCCCCTCAGCCTCAGCCCAAGCTGATAAAATACAGAAATGCTACTGTAGACCCTGCGGGCTTATTTTGACTGCGGTGGAGGAATGTAACATGTAAACACTGACTCCATATTACACTGTTACAACTTGCATTAACAGCGCCGGACAAAAGCTGCATTTTCACAGAAGCATCGTACAGGGATATATCTCCAGCTTAATTTTTTGAAAAAAACATTTCCTCACATAAATCATGCTCAGAACGAAACGGGTGACTGATACATTGCAAATACTTTTTTTTTCCTCCTTAAACAATAACATACCTAGATTCCTTCTAAACGAACGATTTTTTTTTCAAAAAAACAAAAAACTTCTCATTTTTTTTCCTCTCTGAAAAAAAAATAAACACTATAGTTTCTTTCCTGACAAATATCTGAGGCCATGTCTTCTCAGCCAGGCCAGCCTCACCACAGTCACAAAGAAGTCCTCTAGCTCTGGATCATTTCCTAGGTTGGTTGCACCACATTGTATACCCACAGCATTGTATCCTCCCAGAAACATGGACTTGGAAAATGCTGTACGTTGGTGACCAACATAATGACCAAAGCCCAAGGATGACCTTGCCCTGGTTACAGCTGTTGGACAGGAGTTAGCCTCCAGGTGGCCGTGGGCTCAAGGCTGTTTTGTGGTGGGTCAACATGTAAAGCTTCATAGAAAGGTAGGAAAGTATGTCTAAACTCCACCAAAAAGCCAGGTGCAAGTAATCCTAGTTCCTCCAGAGGCTGAGATCTGAGAAGCCAGCCAAGGCAGGAAAGTCCATTAGACTCATCTCTAATTACCATCAAATAGCCAGAAGTGAGATGCAGCTTAAGTGGTAGCGTGCTAGCCTTAAGCAAACAACAACAACAACAACAAAAACCCTCAGGGACAGCAATCAGGCCTTGAGTTCAAGCAGCGTGGGCATGTGCACGCACGTGCGCACACACATTCACACAAACACACACACACACACACACACACACACACACCACATCAATCGAGTGATTGATTGATCAATGGATCAAGTCCACCAAAAGAAATCAATGGGAAAGAAAACTAAGATCTAAAAATGCAGCAGTCAGAGAGCTAGAGCCAGTAGCAGCACTCAGGTCCCCAAGAGGCACAGTGCTCAGAGCGGTACTAGGAGGTAAAACATCAGACGGTGGAGGCAACCCAGAACTCCTCTCCACAGACGAGGCAACTAATCCTACCATGTAAAAGGAAACTCAACCAATGGTAGTTCTGTAGAAAAATACGGGGACTTTAAAAAAAATGGAGGTACGATAGGCCTTTCTGAACATGTAATAAATCTAAAAGCCATTAAGCATATAAAGAGATTTAAGTTATACCCCCAAAAAGGAAAACCATTTGTACATTGCATAAATTAAAAGACAGGAGAAGCTGAGAAAATGTCTGTAGTGTGTGACATGGGATCCCTTCCCTAATATGTAAACCAGCTGGAAGACGAAGAGAAGGAAAAAAGGCAGGCAGACAGAAAACTGGCCCAAAACGACAGCATTATTAATATGCAAGGCCCAGGTTTACACTCTAGTTTAAAAAAAAAAAAAAAGGCTGGTGAAGACATGAAAAGATGACTGATTGGAGCAAGTAGATAGAATCAGATTGTGTTTAACCTAGCAGAGAGAGACCCAGATAAAAAAACAGATAAGAGGCTGGGGATGTACCTCCGTGGAAGAACACTTGCCCAGCGCGTGTGTGAGGTCCAGGGTTCAATCCCCACACTAACAAAAAAAAAACAAAACAAAACAAACAAATTAAAACTCCAGATGGCCTAGAAATTAAGGCATGAAAGAAAAGAGCCGAGTGCCTGTGGCTCACGCCTGTAATCCTAGCTACTCAGGAGGTTGAGATCTGAGGATCACAGTTCAAAGCCAGCCTGGGCAGGAAAGTCCGTGAGACTCTTATCTCCAGTAAACCACTAGAAAACCGGAAGTGGCGCTGTAGCTCAAGCGGTAGAGTGCTCGCCTTGAGCTGAAGAGGGCAGGGACAGCGTCCAAGCCCAGAGTTCAAACCCCACATCCGACAAAAAAAAAAAAAAAAAAAATCAGTGAAAAACAGGCTGAAGTGAGCAAGGCCCTGATTTCAAAGCTAGTACAATACCAAGAGAGAGAGACAGAGAGATAGAGATACAAAGAGAGAGACACACACACAAAGAGACAGAGAGAGAGACAGACAGACAGAGGGGGGTCTGCCAATATCAAAATTTGAAAAAAAGCATCACCAAGTCGAAACCCACTACAATCTGGTGATACAGTGAAGTCGGTGGACAGGCAGATCTAATTGACACCAACTCTGTCTGGGTGGGGCCCGGCTGTGCCTCCAGCATGGGGATCATGGCTGCCCCTTCCCATTTTCTTCTTTCTATTTTTTTTTTTAATTTTATTTTATTTCCCATTTTCTTCTTTTTAAAGTTGATACCAAGCCAGATATTGGTGGCTCACCCCTGTAATCCTACTACTCAGGAGGCTGAGATCTGAAGATCCAAGTTCAAAGCCAGCCTGGGCAGGAAAGTCCATGAGACTCCTATTTCCAAATAATCACCAAAAAGCCAGAAGTGGGGCTCTGGCTCAAGTGGTAGGGTGCTAGCCTTGAGAGAAACAACAAAGACAGTGCCCAGACTCTGAATTCAAGCTCCAGGACTTGTGAAACACTCACACACACACACACACACACACACACACACAAACACACACACACACACACACACACACACACACACACACACACACACACACACACACACACACACTGATGCCCAAATTATGGGGAGATGTAGGAAAGTAGGCAGAAATACACAGAGAACAAATTAAAGCTAGCTGTTACCAAAATATGTTGAGGATTAAGGCACCAACCTTCACACCCAGCTTTTCTACTTTTCCTAGAGAAAAGACCTCCCCGAAAGGCGATTATAAAATAAGACAGCTGGGAGTCAGTGGCTCATATCTGTAATCCTAGCTACTCAAGAAGTTGAGATCTAAGGATCCTAGATGAAAGCCAGCCTGAGTAGAAAAATCTGAGACTTTTATATTCAATTAACCACCAAAAAGCTGGGAGTGGAGTTATGGCTCAAATGGTAAAGCACAGGGCTTGGAAATGTGGCTGGTCCTGGTGGGTGGGGTGGTCCTATCTTTTGAGGATGTGGAGACACTGGATCCTGGAGCACCACTGTAAAACTAGATACTAAGGCTACTGTAGAAAACTGCTCAGTCTCTCAAAACAATCTCTGAAGAATCACCATATAACCCAATGATTCCACTTCTGGGTATGTACCCAAAGGACAGAAAGGAGGGATTCGGGGGGCTGGGAAAGTGGCTCAGTGGTAGAGTGCTTGCCTTGCATGCATGAGGCCCTGGGTTCGATTCCTCAGTACCACATAAGCAGAAAAATCAGGAATTGGTACTGTGGCTCAAGTGGTAGAGTGCTAGCCTTGAGCTGAAGAGCTGAGGGACAGCACCCAGGCCCAGAGTTCAGGCCCCACAGATCAAGGCCAGCCTAGGCAAAAAACTAGTAAGAGCTCCATCTCAACAACACAACAAAGAGCTGGGTGCACTAGTACACTAAAGCTAGTAGGAAAGGGAAATAGAAACATCATGGTTCAGACTGGTCCATGCAAAAATATAAGACTCTTTAAAAAAAAAACAAAACATTACCATCAAAAAAGAAAGAAGCTGAGCACCAGTGGCTCATACCTGTAATCCTAGCTACTCAAGTGGCTAAGATCTTAGGATCATAGTTTGAAGCCAGCACAGGCAGGAAGGGCCATGAGACACTTATGTTCAATTAACCACCAGAAAACCAGAAGTGGTAATGTGGCTCAAATGGGTAGAGCACTAGCCTTGAGCAAAAAGACCTCTGGGATGGAGCCCAGGCCCTGAGTTCAAGCCCCACAATAGACAGACAGACAGACAGACAGACAGAGAGGGAAGGAGAGAGACAGGGAAGAAGGAAGGAGGGAGAAGGGAAAAGAGAAAGAAAGAAGGAAAGAAAGAAAGAAGGAAAGGAAAGAAAAAAGAATGAGAGAAAGGGAGGGAGGGAGGAAGGGAAAGAAAAATTGTGAAATGTTCCAACATGGAGAAACCTTGAGGTTATTATGCTCTGTGAATAAACCTAGTGCATATGCACACTTGCATGCACAACACACACCTGTATACTTGCACACATTTGCATCATAAATGCGCAGCCTTGCACACATACCTACACACATCTGCCTTCTTCTGGGGCACTTTTCCATCAGTAAGTATATCATTGTGGGGAAGGCCCAAGGAGCCAGCACACTGCTCTCAGCCAAGCCTCTGCTGCCCTCTGGTGGTGTCTCTCTCTCTCTCTCTCTCTCTCTCTCTCTCTCTCTCTCTCTCTCTCTCTCTCTCTCTCTCTTCTCTCTGTGTGTCTGTCTCTGTCTCTCTCTTTCACTGTCTGTCCGTCTGTCTGTCTGTCTTCCACCCCCTCCAGTCTTTGCAAGCAGGAAGGCAAGGTGCACTTAGGACATTTGCACCACACACCCACTTGCAGTATCATGTCCATAACCCAGCCGTGGCTTCTGAGGTTTACAGAGGTTTTGCTGGGTCTCAGGAAAGCCCAATATACAAAGCCTATGACAAAGGAGATGTCTCATTGAGGTCTCTTAGGGGACCCACTGGGGCTGACCTAGATAATAAATGACTCACTTTATATGACATTCATCTGATCATTTCCAAGAAAGCTACAGTATACTCAGTATACCAAAAACCTGCAGGGGGCTCACATAACAACTACAGCCTAAGCAGCCCACTCAAGTGACTTCAGTGTCCCTGACACACCACCCGCAAAGGAGGAAGACACAGTCCTACACACGCCAGGCCTTACGTTTTTCCAGGAGATTCCTTCAACCAGAAGATGTCATCACTGGTAATTCCATACTCCAAGGCACCTGCAATCTATCAGGAAGAAAAGGATTGAGTTAACAAGGCTGCCATTTGCTTTGGCCCAGGACTTCTTCCAAGAGGAAGCTTGTTTGGCAGAAACAACTCAGTCAGAACCACCCCAACCCATGCGTGGGGAGAGCTTTCTGTGTTGTCAGGCTGTGGACGCAGGGGACAGAAGGTGCTGTGCTTACATCTAACCACGGTGCTAGAAGCACTAGGAGCCTGTTGTCAAGGGCCTCCCAGGTGGATGCGATGGTGGCTCTCACCTCTACTCTCTGGGGCCTTCCCCTTGACCTTAATGCAAAGCCATGGCCCAGGGCCTGGGGTGGGCATGGCAGCTACCAGGGCCACAGATACACAGAGCTGCTCTCCCCTGTGATTATTCAGGAACAGGAAGGAGATGGGGCATGCAGACCAAGGGAGCATCACCCTGGGGCCCAGACTCAGACAGGTAGATGAAGAAGGGTGAGAAGATCAGGCTAGAGAGCTGCAATGTCTCATGAAGAGGCCAGGGGAGGGGAGGGGAAGAATAGATGAGCCAGATGTTGTCAGTGCAGACTGAGGTGCATAGAGGATGGGGAGCAGAAGGCTCCAAGGGCACCAAGCTGCAGGCTGGACAGACCAGGCACCCTCCAAGGCCAGTCACGGGTAGGGAGCCATGTGTCCAGAGATCACACAAATGTTCTGACAAGCTATGGCTAAGCAGCCTGGGAAGACCCGAGGCCAAGCATTGTCCTGTGTGACTAAGATGTGCTAGTGGAGAGGAAACAGAGTGTATAAACAGTTTATGATTCCAACTGACAAAAACAATAAATAAGGCCAGGAATTTCTCCACTTTGCTCAAGGAAAACCAAAAGGTCTGAAAACCAAAGGTACTCAAACACAAGCAAGTTTTTGGCAGACACCCAGGGAGGGCAGGTCAAGGATGGGGGCAGGCGGCAGGCAGAGTGGGGAGTGACTGAGCTGCCTCCCCAGGACCTGGGCACTTGCTTTGCTCTCCTGAGAGTGAGTAGATCCAGAGCAGCCATGAACAGCAGGATGGGGCAGGCCAGGGACCCTATGAAAAGGTGTGTGGTATGGGTGCATGGGAAACTCTACCCAGAGGCTCTATGGACCTGAGGTAAAGGTGACCACTGGCTTCCTAGAAACTGACCATGGCCTGTACAGGCGTTTTGTGTGTGTGTGTGCCAGTCCTGTGGCTTGAACTCAGGGCCTGGGTGCTGTCCCTAAGCTTCTTTTTGCTCAAGGCTAGCACTCTACCACTTGAACCACAGCACCACTTTCAGCTTTTTCTGTTTATGTGGCACTGAGGAATCGAACCCAGGGCTTCATGCATGCTAGGCAAGCACTCTACCACTGAGCCACATTCCCAGCCCTGCAGAGGCTTTAAGCACAGCCACTGGAAGCCCGGCTGTAGGTGAGGGGGTCACTTAGACCCTGGCTGTTGTAGTCCCCTTGAGAACAGTGGCACTGTGTCAGCAAGGCTGTTGGAGTGCCCCCTGTGTGTAGCTTGCCCCTCAGAGGCTGTTTTAGCTTGTCTGGCAGACAGAGGGGCGATTCCATGGTCCTCTGAGGACTGGAGGCACTTGCTAGCCTCAGTCCCTTCTCGCCCCCATTTCCACAGCAAGCACAGATGGAAATGGAAGCTGGGGACTCAGATGCTCATGACTCTGCTTCCGTGTGAAAAGGAACAGGACCATCTTGCTGTTTCTCCATCCACATTCCACCTGGGTCTAAGCCTCTGAGGCTGATGTGGGCCTTCAGGCCCCTGAGACCCAAGAGACCCACAGGGAGACTCAGGGCTGGTGGTGACACCCAGCTCTCTGGGAGACCTGCAAGGATGTGCCTCCACCAAACCCCTCTGATCCCACCTCTTACTACCCCTGCAATGGCCACCCACTCTCACCTGGCTCACGCTGAGGTCCCTTCCTGTGAATGGGAGGGCAAAGGAGTCCCCACATCACTCACAGCTAGGCTAGGAGGTGACATCAGAAAAAAGTATGAAGAACATCCCAAGATTCACCTGTTCATCATAGCAGAGAAGAGAAAACTGGCAAGAATGTTCAGATTCAACTTTTTCAGAACTCTGAAAACTAAACAAAAGCTCTCAGCAATGCGGGAACTCTGTAAGAATAGTAGGTCTAGACCAGGCACTGGAGGCTAATGACAATAATCCTAACTATTCAGGAGGCTGAGATCTGAGGATCTCAGGAAAGTCCAAGAGACTCTTATCTCGGATTAACCACCAAAAAGCCAGAAGTAAAGCAATGGCTTAAATGACAGAGCACAAGCCTTGTCCTGAGCTCAAGCCCCAGTACCAACACACACACAAAAGAAGAACATTAAGTATATGGGGTGCTTATTAACTGACTCTGGTTCCAAGCCAGAGACAGGGACAGCACAACAGAGCAGATAGGCCGAGTAGAGCTGGAGCCTTTCCAAGTATCCCACCCAGGGAACACCCAGCATCTGGCCCCGTGGATGACTCCTGACCTCATGCCAGCTTCCAAAGAGAAAGCCTCTCCATGGACATCTATCTAATCTTTTAAGTTCATGACTGCCTGAGTCGATGGATAACAAAAAGGACAAATGAGATAAACTGAAAAGTTCCAAACCAAAAACAGAAATGAGGGCTTTTTTTTTTTTTTTTTTTTTGGGGGGGGGGTCCGGTCGTGGGGCCTGAACTCTGGGCCTGGGCGCTGTCCTCAGTTCTCAGCTCAAGGCTAGCACTCTACCACTTGAGCCACAGCACCACTTCTGGGTTTTTTCTTTTTGCTTATGTGGTGCTGAGGAAGTAAACCCAAGGCCTTATGCATGCAAGGCAAGTGCTCTACCACTGAGCCACCTTCCCAGCCCAGCTTTTTTTTTTTTTTTTTTTTTTTTTTTAGTGTGGTATACCACATGGGGCTTAAACTCAGGGCCTTAGTGATGTCCCTGAGCTGCTTTTGCTCAAGGCTAGTGCTCTGCCACTTGAGCCACAGCTCCACATCTGCCTTTTTGGGTAGTTAGTGGATAAGAGTCTCAAAGAGGACTAGGAATGTGGTAGAATTGCTTGCCTAGCATGCAGGAAGCCTTAGGTTTGATTCCTCAATACCACATAAACAGAAAAGGCTAGATATCCAGGCCCTGGTGGCTCATGCTTGTAATCCTAGCTACTCAGGAGGCTGAGATCAATCTGAGGATCACAGTTCAAAGCCAGCCTGGGCAGGAAAGTCCATGAGACTCTTATCTCCAATAAACCACTCACAAAACCAAAAGTGGTGCTTTGGCTCAAGTGGTAGAGTGCTAGCCTTGAGCTGAAGAGCTGAGGGACAGTGCCCAGGCCCAGAGTTCAAGCCCCACCACTGACAAGAAGAAAAAGAAAAAGAAACAGCTTGGAAGTTGCACCATGGCTCAAGTGGTAGAGTGCTAGATTTGAGCAAAAGAAGCCCAGGCACAGTGCCTAGGCCCTGAGTTCAAGCCCCAGGACTGGCAAAAAAAAAAAAAAAAGGAGTCTTACAGACTTTCCTGCCTGGGCTGGCTTTGAACCATAATCCTCAGATCTCAGCTTCCTGAGTAGCTAGGATTCTAGGCATTAGCCACTGGTGCCCAGCTTTCCATGGAGGCTTTGAACAAAAACTTTAAAAACACGGGGCTGGGAAGGTGGCTCAGTGGTAGAGTGCTTGCCTTGCATGCCTGAGGCCCTGGATTCGATTCCCCAGCACCACATAAGCAAAAAAAAAAAAAAAAAAAAGCTGGAAGTGGCACTGTGGCTCAAGTGGTAGAGCGCTAGCCTTGAGCTGAAGAGCTGAGGGACAGCGCCCAGGCCCAGAGTTCAGGCCCCACGACCGGACCCCAAAAAACAAAAAAAAAAACTTTAAAAACACTTCTAGGAGTCTAGAACACCAGACACAGGTACTGAGCTTTGCATATACCAGGGGGGGAAATTAAGATAGTCCCGAGGTCTTACTGATGCACACAGTGCCCTCAGCAAAGCCATGCTTTAAGGAGTTTAGGGAATATCTCTGACTAGACATTAGCTGACTGCTAAACTAACCAAATGAACTTCAGTGGCCATACATGACAAAAAATAAATGCAAAACTAACTTAGAGAAATTACCAAACAGGCAGCAATAACAACAATCGCAATTTCAGGGTAGGGGGGTTGCTCTGATTTCTAGAGTTACTACATTAAGTTATTGGAAATGTTCAGCTTTCAATTAAAAAAAAAGTTACATGAGGGCTAAGAATGTTGGCTTAGTGACAGAGTGCTTGCCTAACATGCATGAAGCTCTGGGTTCAATTCCTCAGTACCATATAAACAGAAAAGGCCAGAAGTGGTGCTGTGTCTCAAGTGGTAGAGGGCTAACTTTGAGCAAAAACAGCTCAGAGACAGTGCCTAGGACCTCAGTTCAAGCCACAGGACTGGCAAAAAAAAAAAGTTATATGTGCTAAAGGCATATAGCCATTTGGAAAACCCTGGTGATTTCCTCAAAAGATTAAACAGAATGGTGTGTGATCCCAATTCTACTCCCAACACCCCATAAGGAGTGAAAATTAAGTCCACACACACAAATAACTTTTTTTTTTTTTTGGTCATTGGGCTTGAACTCAGGGCCTGGTCTCTGTCCCTGAGATTTTTTTGCTTAAGGCTAATGCTCTACCACTTTGAGCCACAGCTCTACTTCCAGTTTTCTGGTGGTTAATTGGCGATAAGAATCTCATGGACTTTCCTGCCTGGGCTGGCCTTGAACCATGATCCTCAGATCTCAGCCTCCTGAGTAACAAGGATTACAGGCATGAGTTACCAGCACCCAGCCACAAACATAGTGGTCATAGTGGCAATGCCAGTGCTCATCAATATACAATAAAGAAGCAAAATATGGCTAATATCCATACATGGAATATTATTCAGCCTTCAAAAGGAAAGAAAGGATGGGCTCTGGTGGCTCCCACCTGTAATTCTAGTTACTCAGAGGCTGAGATCTGAGGATCTGGGTTCTCCAAATAATCACCAAAAAGCTGGAAGTGAAGCTGTGGCTCAATTGATAAAGTGATAGCCTTGAGCAAAAAAGCTAAGGGACAGTGCCTAGGTCCTGAGTTCCAAGTCTCAGGATCAGCACAAAAAAAAAGGAAGAAAATTCTACAAATTCTCAAGGATGAACCTTGAGGACCTTATGCCAAGTAAAATAAAGCAGATACAAACAATGACTGCATGTAAAGTAGGTATACGAGTTACCTAGAATAATCAAATCATCAAGACAACACAGAATGGCGGGTAGTGAGTACCAGAACCAAAGAAGAAAGGTGTGGGACTAGGGCTGGATGGTGCAGAATACCAACATGGGAGGACAAGAACACAGATGGCGACGACTCTAACTGCGCCTCCAAAGAATGAGTATTATAGCATGTAAATTTTATTTAAAAGTTTTTAAAAGTTGTGGTTGTGGACTTGGGATGTGGCTTAGTTATAGAGTGCTTGCTTAGCATGCACAAAGCCCTAGGTTCGATTCCTCAGTACTACATACACAGAAAAAGCCAGAAGTGGTACTATGGCCCAAGTGCTAGCCTTGGGCCAAAGAAGCTCAGAGACAGTGCCAAGGCCCTGAGTTCAAGACCTAGGACTAGCAAAAAAGAAAAAAAAAAAGTGTGGTTGTGGACTGGGAAGGTGGCTTAGTGGCAGAGTGCTTGCCTAACATGCATGAAGCCCTGGGTTCAACTCCTCAGTATAACACACACAGAAAAAAAGCTGGAAGTGGCACTGTGGCTCAAGTGGTAGAGCTCTAGCCTTGAGCAAAAGAAGCTCAGGGACAGCGCAGAGGCCCTGAGTTCAAGCCCCAGCACTGACAAAAAAAAAAGAAAAAAAGTTGTGGTTGTGGTGATGGAGGAGGAGGATGATAAAGAAAAAGGCTGAAGACCTGGATGTCCTACATGTTGCAGTTAAAGGAAAAAGGTGTCAACAATAGAGACTTAGAACAAGAGATACCAGGGCTGGATACAGTAGAGCCCATCTATAGTCTCAGCCACTCAAGAGGCTGAAGCAGGAAAGTTACTTGAATCCACAAGTTCAGGAGTTCAGGACCAGCCTGAACAACATAGAGACTTGATGTCTTTAAAAGAAGATGAGGGGGAAAGGAGAGAGGAGGGAGGAGAGGACAGGACAGGACAGGGGGAGGGAACAGGCACAGTGATGTCCCAGACGCCAGCTGGAGAGTACAGCAAGAGTGTTTCTAAGGGTTTAACAATGGAGGGGGATGGTCACTGGAGACCCCGTTTCAGCAGTGGGGTCGTGAGACAGATGTACAAAGGAGAAAGGACAGTGAACGTGGAAGAAGCTACAGGGTAGAAGACCCTGGTGTAGGAATCATGATGAGTACACTCAGGGGAAGGACATTAGGTTTGGGAGGACACTCACATGTGTGGGGTACTTCGGCCGTCCTCCTGTAGCAATGACAATGTGCTCAGCAGAAAGCAGAGTCTGAGATTAGAGAAAGTGAGAGGTCAAGCAGAACACTAGGATCCCCAGTCAGAAGGGCTCAAATGCCTCAGGTCCCCTGGGGGGCGGGGATCACACGTCCCACAGAGCAAGAATCCTGAAGGCATCTTGTCTCCTCAAATCCCCACAACATCCTACAAGAAGGATGCAATCACCCCCGCCCTCCTTGTCAGGCTGTCCCCAAGCTGCTGGGCAGCCTGGTACGGCATGCAGCTCATAGGAGCTGTTTAGTTATTTGGGTTTGTTTTCGTTGTTGTTTTGATGGGGATAGAGAGTGAACCCAGAACTTTGTGCATGCTATGAACATACTCTGCTGCTTAACTACACCCCCCCAGCCCTATTGAATCTCTATAGCCCAAGCTTGGCCTGGAATTCATGAACCTCGAGAGAGCTGGAATTAGCAACACCAACTGTCTCATCTTTCTTCCACTCCATTACCACCTACCTCCCCGGCTTCAGCTTTGGCAGTACTGAGGACTCAACAGAGGCCTCACACTAGTTAGGCAAGCTCTATCACTTGAACCACACCCCCAGCTCTTTTTGCTTTGTTTGTCAGATAAGGTCTCCCACTTTTGCCCAAGGCCAGCCTTGGACTATTATCATCATACCTCTACTTCCCTAGCACCTGGGATGACAGGCATGTACTCCCATGCCCAACTAGGTTTAATCTTTTGGAAAAAGTGTGACTTTGAAGGAAGCTGTCTGTTCAATTCCAGTGGTGTTTCTTCATAGAAACCACCCAGGCAGAACGAGGCTAGTGTGGTGCCCACATTCCATGGAAAGAATGGTTCCAAGATGAGCCACAAAGGCCAGGCAGGCGCTTACCTCCTTCCCACCTTTGGCCACACCGCAAACAGTATGCTTGTTGACAAAGCTGGCTTTGATGTTAAAATACTTGACTTTCCTGTAACACAGAAAAAAGATTTTCAAGCATTTTTTTTCCTATGAATTAAACTTCAGTGCCCAAGTTACACAGCACTATGCAGACTGCTAAAAGGTAAGCCCTGGAGCTGGAGATGGAGCCTAGTGCTAGAACACTTGCCTGGCAAGGACAAGGGCCTAGGTTTGATCCCCAGCACTACAAAAGAAAAATGAAAGTGAAAGAGAGAGAGAGGAGGGAGTGATGGGAGGGAGTGAGTGAGGAGGGAGGAAGGAAGAGAGGAGGAAAGGAGGAAGGGAAAAAGGAAAGAAGGAAAGAAGGAAGAAAGGAAGGAGAAAAAAGAACCAAGGCCAACTCCAGACCATGGCTCACACAGAGTGAAAAAGCAGGCAGAAGCAGCAGCACTTGGAAGAACCCAGGCCCTGGGTTCCTGGGGACCAGGTGACCAGTGTCAAGTGACCAGCAGTGACAGGCTGGTGGGCAGTGAAGGGGGCTAGGCCTCTCTCAGGACCCGTCCTCATCATCTGTGCGTGTATCATCAGGGAGCTGGATGCCCACACCATAGATGGCAAGGCCAGGAGAAGAGTGAGGCCAGGCTGGTAGGACACAGCTGTGTTGGACGGTGTGGTGTGCAGACACACCCCACACTGAGTGCAAAGGCTGAGTTGCAGTGGAGAGCTCTTTGTGGTTCTGGCTTTGTTTCCCCACTCTTGGATTCTCCACGCTCATGCCTATGCCTTTCTGGGCTGAGGGCCCTTTGCTCACCTGGTTAAGTCAGGGAATGCGCTGATGACACAGACATCCAAGGCCTGTAATAAGGAAAGTGGAAACAAGCCAGGTGCCAACACTCCCTCCGTGATGTCTGTGGAGTGGCCTGGATTAGGCCTGCTTAGCACCTGCCTAGGAGCTGCATGGGTTCAAGGACTGGGAAGACAGCAGAGCCCGCTGTCTTCTGCAAGCTAAACTTGGGGATGTGGAGTCCCATACGGAAGAGACATGACCACAAAAACCTCTGCAGCACAATGAGACTTCTCCTTGTGGAGGAACCAGATGGGGAAGGCCCCACAGGGACAGTGTGGCTTCCTAGCTTGGCTTCCCTGGTGTAAGTGGGCACAAGACGGATGCCCATTCTGGAGGCCAGGAAAATCCCCAGGGACCAAGAAAGGGGTGCCCAGGTGAGATTCCCATCCCATGAGGGCCACTGTCCACATGGGCTAATTTAGGCAGCATGACACACCAGAGCAGAGCTAAGCCTGAAGTGTGTGCCGACCCTCAGCACTGACCTGTGCATCCCTATGGGGGACAGGAATGGCAGTTGTAGGCTAGAGGGAACAGGAAGGGACATCTCTGAGGCAGCAAACACCAGGGCCCTTCCTTTTTCCCCAAGAAGCCCTACAAGGTATGCATATATAGAAGCAGAAAATACAGGATTGGAAGATAGTATATGAGGTTTATCTTTGCCGCCTCACGGGGTTCACTTAGCTGTTTCCTATAACTGTGGCAGGAGAGCAGTGGCCTGCCTAGAGGAAGGAGCTGCCAGGAGGCTGGCCTCTCACAAGCCATTTAGTCCCAAATCCAGCCATGGCCACACACTGGGCTTCAGGCCTCCCCACCCTGACTGCCCCCTCTTCCCTGTGCTCCTGTCATTCAGCCTCCATGCCTATCCTTTGCTCCTGCTGCGTCTGGGTTTTGCTCCAGGGAGAACCTCACTTTCCACAGCATGGCACCCCTTATCTGTGTACCCACCAAGAAGTATCCCTCTCCCCATCATCTTACAGGCCAAGCCCCCAAGCCTGCCAGGATGTGTTCGCACAATCAGGAAGTGCTCTTCCAGGGATAGCAGGACCTGAAAGGTCAGGAGGGTAGCCTGCCTTGAGAACCACACTGCACGGCCACGGAGGCCTGGCATAACTTTGGTACCTGTCCTGCAGCTGGACACGGTGTCCCCAGTTCAAGGACTTCACATAGTTTTGCACAGCTTCTGCCATTTTCTTCCTGTTGACACACACAGGGAGAAAAATAAGCCCTAAGAGAATGTCAAGGAAGTGGAAGAAAGAGGAGAGATGGAGGTGCATTTGAAGGGGTACAGCATGGCGCTCATCCTCACAGGTGGCTGCTGCCTCCGAGCAGAGCTGGCACTCTGGAAATGGAGGCATTGGCCTCCACCCATCCAGACAGCAGCTCTGTGTCCAGGTCACATGTTGCAGGGGAATGTCAGAGCTGCCTGTGTGTGGCTTGGAGTGGAATCATGTGTCACCATCTGTGACAGTCCTCTGCCCCATTCTGCTGCCTTTGCACTGGGCCATTCTTGGCAGGGCTATCCTGGGCATTGCAGGACAACTCAAAGTGTCTCTACAGAGGGCCAAATGTCAAGAGTGGAGGCTGCTTTTGTGATGGTTGATGTCAAATGAATTTCTATTCCACCTAAGGGTAGCAGAAAAGCAAGGGGCACTCTAGACATGGGCTTCTCACCAGTCATGCTGGATGGGCTGGCCTACGTCCCAGCCATAGTGTTGGGCATCTCGGATCACGCCCCCCAGAAGTGCAGCCTGGTGCATCAGTTTCTTAGGGATACAGCCCACGTTGACACAAGTACCGCCCAGGCCCCATTTGGTACCTAAAATGTTGGAAGACCACTTACTTATTTATTTATTCACTTATTTACTGATTTGCAATGCTGGGGACAGAACCAGGCCTAGAACATACTAGGCAAGTATTCTGTCACTCAACTGTACCCCCAACCTCAGGGAAGAGCATATTTGAGATCACATTCAGGGTTTCTGTTCTTCTACAGTGTTCTGAGCCCCTTTAAGTGGCTGTTAGCTTGTAATTCAGAAACATAGCCCTAGGGAGCTTTGTCACAGTATTTTGTTCTTTATAACTGCATTTAGAGTAGTTTTAAAAAATAAGAATAAAGACTGAGTATCAGTAGCTCTCATCTGTAATCCTAGCCACTCAGGAGGCTGAGATTGGAGGATCTCAGTTTGAAGACAGCCTGAGCAGGAAAGACCTTTGAGATTCTCACTCACTTCCAATTAACCACCATAAAGTTAGAAGTAGAGCTGTAGGTCAAGTGATAAGAGTGTTAGCCTTGGGCAAAAAAGCTATGTGATAACATCCAGGTTCTGAGTTCAAACCCCAGAACGGGCACAAAAAACCAACAACAAAATAATATGAGTAAATAACTTTATAGTTAAAGACAGTTATGTGTGAAATGGGACACTCCCTGGAGACTATGGACAGAAGATGAATGATTTTGGCCTCAGCCCCCTCTGGATGTGAACTGGGTTCCACCGCCACTTCCCCTCCTCTATCACACAGGGCTCCTGTTGGGGCGGCCACCTACCTCGAGGAGAGGGTTCCACATAGTCTACCACAGCCACCTTCTTTCCCAGCTGAGCGGCTAAAGGACAAGGAGAGCTGCAGGTGAGCACAAAAGGGGAAGGAGGTGGGCAGCTGCCAGCACAGTAGCCGAGCTGACAGTATTCATGATTTCCTGTCGGCCCTGCCATCCTGGCCCATGAAGCCATGCTGCCCACCAGTTCTGGCCTCCCAACTGCCCACCCAGGTCCTCTGCACAGGTAGCAACCCTCAGGCTTCACAGATGCAGCCTGCACGCTGCCCACCATGGCAGCACTGGAACCAATTCTTCTCAGCTCCTGTTCACATCTAATTCCAGGCTAAATGTTTGATGAATCTGGTGTCTATTCCAAGCACTGAGGAGGTATCCCAGGGGCAGCCCACCCTAGGAAAGGCCCACTGGCCTCCAGCAGTCCTGAGGAACTCAGGTCCTTCTCCCTGGCTCACTTTGTCTCACTTAGCTGAGAATAGTGATGGAGGTCTTGTAGCTTCCACCTATAAGCCCATCCTCATCAGAGACTTCCCCCAGGTGAGCAAGTAGGGATCTGCTGCCTCTCTCAGGATGAGAAAACAAAGCTTAAGTAAACTTAAGCAGAGGCCCAAGGTCAGTCAGGCACCTGAGTGTAAGCTACTCCCTGGTCCATATAACCATCTAGCTGACCTCCAGCCATCAATCAACAGGGCCTTCCAGGGTCCCAGGTTCCCGGTTCTGAGGCCAACTCAGGATCATCTTGGACCAATTAAGCTCCAGATTCTGGACCTGAGCACCTCAGAGGATAGGCTGGATGTCTGTATCCTCATGAACCCATAAATGTTCGAAACATTAAAGAACATGGAATGTAGCTGGGCACTGGTGGCTCATATCTATAATCTTTTTTTTTTTTGGGGGGGGGGAGGGTCTGGTCATGGGGCCTGAACTCTGGGCCTGGGCGCTGTCCCTCAGCTCTTCAGTTCAAGGCTAGCGCTCTACCACTTGAGCCACAGTGCCACTTTGGGCTTTTTTCTTTTTGCTTATGTGGTGCTGAGGAATCGAACACAGGGCCTCAGGCATGCAAGGCAAGCGCTCTACCACTGAGCCACCTTCCCAGCCCTCCTATCTATAATCTTATCTACCAAAGAAGTTGAGATCTAAGCCTGGTCCTCTCTGGTGGTTCATGCCTGTAATCCTAGCTACTCAGGAAGCTGAGATCTGAGGATTGTGTTTCAAAGACAGTCTGGGCAGGAAAGTCTGTGAGACTCTTATCTCCAATTAGCTACCAGGAAACTAGAAGTGGTGCTGTGGCTCAAAGTGGTAAAGCACTAGCCTTGAACAAAAGAGCTCAGGGACAGTACCCAGGCCCTGAGTTAAAGCTCCATGACTGGGGGAAAAAAGATGAGATCTGAGGATCAAGGTTTAAATCTAGCATGGGCAGAAAAGTCTGAGACTCTCTATAACCAGATTTGCTCTAACCAGCAAAAAGCCAGAAGTGGAGGTATGGCTCAAATAGTAGAGCATTGGTGGTAAGCAAAAAGCTGCGTGACAGTGTAAAGTCCTAAGTTCAAGCTCCAGTGCTAGCACAGAAAGAGAGGAAGAGACACACACAGAGACAGAGACAGAGACAGAGACAGAGACAGACAATGGCTATCTGAAAGGAAGGTAAGACAAAGTTTTAGAAGAGCTTATCTTTTTTTTTTTGGCGGTCGTAGGGCTTGAACTCTGGGTTTGGGCACTGTCCCTCAGCTCTTCAGCTCAAGGCAAGTGCTCTACCACTTGAGCCACAGTGCCACTTCCAGTTTTCTAGTGGTTTATTGGAGATAAGAGTCTCACTGAGTTTCCTGCCCAGGCTGGCTTTGAACTGCGATCCTCAGATCTCAGCCTCCTGAGTAGCTAGGATTACAGACGTGAGCCACCGGCGCCCAACAAAAGAGCCCATCTTAAAAACCCACTTCAACCCTGTGCCAGAGGCTCATGCCTATAATTCTATCTACTCAGGAGGCTGAGATCTGAGAATAATCGAGGCCAGCTGGGGAAAAAAAGTCCATGAGATACTTATCTCTAATGAATTACTCAAAAAAAGCTACAAGTGGTGCTGTGGCTAAAATGGTAGAGCACTACCCTTGAACAAAAGTATATCAGGATTGGGTGACAGTGACTCACACCTGTAATCCTAGCTACTCAGGAGGCTGAGATCTGATGGTCACAGTTCAAAGCCAGCCCAGGCAGGAAAGTCCATGTGACTCTTATCTCCAATTAACCACCAGAAAACAGGAAGTGGCACTGTGGTTCAAACGTTAGCAGGCTTGCCTTGAGCTGAATAGCTCAGGGACAGTGCCCAGGACCAGAGTTCAAACCCCACAACCAACCAAAAAAAAAAAAAAAAGTAGATCAGGAATGTCACTGAGGCCCTAAGTACAAGTACCAGCAAACACACACACACACACACACACACACACACACACACACACACACACACACACACACACTGACCACTTTGGCCAGTTGCCAGAGGCTCAAGGTTCAAGCCTATATCTGAGTACAAGTACCAGCACACACACACACACACACACACACACACACACACACACACACACACACACACACTGACCACTTTGGCCAGTTGCCAGAGGCTCAAGGTTCAAGCCTATATCTGAGTACAAGTACCAGCACACACACACACACACACACACACACACACACACACACACACTGACCACTTTGGCCAGTTGCCAGAGGCTCAAGGTTCAAGCCTATATTTCTAGCAACTCAAACTCAGGAGGCTGAGATTGTTTAAAGCTACTCCAAACAGATAAATCCTAGAGACTCCACCAATTAACCAGCAAAAAGCCAGATCTGGAGGTGTGGCTCAAGTGGTAGAATGCCTGTCTAGCAAATTTGAGGTCCTGAATTCAAACCTAAGAACAGCCAAAGCATCATGATCATGATCATGATCATCATCCAGACAAAGTTCAGTATTAATATTTCTAGGAATATAAGAACATATGAAGCTGGGCACCAGTGGCTTATGCCTCAGGAGGCTGAGATCTGAGGATCGAGGTTCGAAACTAGCCCAGGCAGGAAAGTCCCGGAGACTCTTTTTTTTTTTTTTTGGTCAGTTGTGGGGCTTGAACTCTGGGCTTGGGCACTGTCCCTGCACTCTTCAGCTCAAGGCAAGAGCTCTACTGCTTGAGCCACAGTGCCACTTCCAGTTTTTTAGTGGTTTATTGGAGAGAAGAGTCTCATGGAGTTTTCTGCCTGGGCTGGCTTTGAACCATGATCCTCAGATCTCAGCTTCCTGAGTAGCTAGGATTACAGGCGTGAGCCACCAGCGCCTGGCTCCCAGAGACTCTTATCTCCAATTAACCGCCAGAAAATTGGAAGTAGTGCTGTGGCTCAAAGTGGCATAGTGCTAGCCTTGAGTGAAAATGCTCAAGGACAGTGCCTAGGCCCAGAGTTCAAGCATCATGACCAACAAAAAACAAAACAAGAAAAATCTGAAAAGGTAAATTCAAAAGTGTTTTGTAGGGCTGGGAAGGTGGCTCAGTGGTAGAGCGCTTGCCTTGCATGCATGAGGCCCTGGGTTCGATTCCTCAGCACCACATAAGCAAAAAGAAAAAAAGCCGGAAGTGGCACTGTGGCTCAAGTGGTAGAGCGCTAGCCTTGAGCTGAAGAGCTGAGGGACAGCGCCCAGGCCCAGAGTTCAGGCTCCACGACCGGACCCCACCCCCCAAAAAAAAAAAGATTAAAAAAAAATAAATAAATAAATTAAAAAAAAAAAAGTGTTTTGTAGTCAAACAAAAATTACCAGCCTTTTTGTTTACCAACAATGTACAACTAGAAAGGGAAATCAGAAAAATAACTCCATTTGCAATAGCCTAAAAAAAAAAAGCCTATTAGACTACTTAACCAAAGATGTGGGGGAAAAAAAACTTTATAGTGAAAAACTATAAAAATTTGGCCACAGGGCTGGGAAAGTGGCTCAGTGGTAGAGGGCTTGCCTTGCACGCATGAGGCCCTGGGTTCAATTCCTCAGCACCACATAAGCAGAAAAAGCCAGAAGTGGCACTGTGGCTCAAGTGGTAGAGCACTTGCCTTGAGCTGAAGAGCTGAGGGACAGTGCCCAGGCCCAGAGTTCAGGCCCACGACTGGACCCCCCCCAAAAAAAATAGACCCAAAGATCAATGGAACAGATTAGAGGACCCAGAAATAAAATTATATACTTACAGTTACCTGGTATTTGATAAAGAAGCCAAAGATAATACAGTGGAAAAAGGATAACCTCTTCAATAATTGTTGGGAAAAGTTAGTATCCATATTCAGAAAACTAAAAATGGATCTCTATTTGCACTAATATCAACTCAAAGTGGATCAAAGACTTCAATGTCAGACCTGAAACTTTGGAATTACTGCAAGAGGCCAGATGCTGGTGGCTCACACCTGTAATCCTATCTACTCAGGAGGCTGAGATCTGAGGATCAAGTTCAAATCCAGGACCCCCCTCCTGCTCTGCCCCCACCTGCAAGGAAAGTCCGAGAGATTCCAATTAACCACCAGAAAGCTGGAAGTGGTACTGTGGCTGAAGTGGTAGAATGCTAGCCTTGAGTGCTAGCCTTGAGCTCCGGGACAGTGCCCAGGCCCAGAGTTCAAGCCCCACAACTGACAAAAAAAAAAAGAAAGAAAGAATGAAATTACTGCAATAGAGAGTAAGAGTCTCAGGGGGCACAACAGATAGGAGAGAAACTTAACATGTGGGACTGCATTAAAATAAAAAGTATCTAACAGCTAAGGACATAGTTACTAAACTAGAAAGATAGCTAACAGACTGGAAGAAAATCTTTACCAGCAATATAACATACAAAGGCCTAATATCCAAAATATACAAGGAGCTCAAGAAATTAACCCCTCCCAAAGCCAAGAAGCCAATTACTAAATGGGCAAAGAAGCTAAGGAGAGGGGCTGGGAAGGTAGCTCAGTGGTAGAGTGCTTGCCTTGCATGCCTGAGGCCCTGAGTTCGATTCCTCAGCACCACATAAGCAAAAAGAAAAAAGCCAGAAGTGGTGCTGGGG